GAGTGAGTGAGAGAGTGAGTGAGACAGTGAGTCAGAATGCCAATTTAATAGAGGAAAGTATTCTTGCATTGAGGGAGTACTTGAGTGGGACACAGTAACGCTTTATGGGAGTAGAAAGTCTCATTTTTCTCCACTGGAGCCGGTGGCGGTATTGAAATGCTGACCTTGCAGTTAGCAGCCTAATTTGTAACCTAGGACACTACCAGGGCTCCTGCTAGGCTTCTATGGAGCACAGAAAGCTGAGCAAGTCCTCTTCACTTTCGCCAGCAAAGGTTTGTCATCTGCCTGTCTTCCTCCACTTCCGATGCCCTCTTCTTCTCCACATAGTACAGCTGCTTGGGTTATCTGCTCAGCATGCAGGTTAAATAAGTATGATGAAAAGATACAACCCTGATGTACACCTTTCCTGATTTTCAACCACTTACTCTTCTCCCGTTCTGTTTGAATGACTGCTCGTGGTCTGTGTACAGGAACATCGTGAAGTGTTCTGGAATCCCCATTCCTCGTACTGTTAGGTGTAGTTTGTTATGATCCACACAATCCTTTCTCCTCGTCAAGTTCTATTAAGCAATCTGAATTATCTCCTCGTAGCATTTATTACTGCCTAGTTATTTTGTGTACTATCTACCTTTCTTTTTTCTTCTCAAGCCTGTTTTTATTTCTAGCATTCTAGTGTAGTTTTACATAAGGCTATCTTTAAAAGTGACACCCCACCTTGTCCCCAAAATCCAGTCTTCGTTCTCTATTGAATTTGTGATTAGAACTGGTCATTGGGAAAGAACTGGATTTTAGCTTCCTGCAGGAGCCTGGTGGCGCAGCGGGTTATGCGTCAGGCTGCGAATTGTAAGGTGAGCTGTTTGAAAGCAGCCTCTCTGCGGAAGGAGGAGGCTTTCTGTTCCTGGAAGGTTGACCGTCTCCAAAACCCGCAGGGGTGGCTCTACTCTGGCCTGCAGAGTTGAGACGCGTCAGCATCAACTCCATGGCAGTGAGTTCGGTTTCGGGTTTATAACCGCTCAACTTAAAGTTCTCTGCCTTCGAGTGGCTTCCTGCTCATAGTGAGCCTGTAGGATCTTTTTCTATGATCAAGATTTCCCCTCCTTTGACAGCAGGCCAGTGACTGTTTTACTTACCTCTGTAGCCCAGCATCTCAAACACTGCCTGCTATTTCACACGTGTTCAAGGACAACTACTAAACGAATGAAAACACGAGTCAATTTTTATGAAATTCTTTGCTTACCTCAATCTGTCTTCAAAAATAATGCCCAAGTGTTCCCCTGAAAGGTTTTTAGAATACTGTTGTTGCTGTCACGTTTTTTTCTTCCTAGCAAGAGAGGTGGTGTGTGCAGAACAGAAATCCCCAAGAATGCTTGGCCTTTAATCAATGAAACCCCCCAAGAGGGGTCTCCCTTAGTCACACCCTTGTAGCTTCCTCCTATCCTGTGAGTTGTAGGTGGGGGTGGGTGGGGGCGGAGTGGACCCATTTGCAAAGCCCCAACCCTCCATGTCTGCCTGAAGTCCATTAGGGTACATCAGGAAGGGCACCCGAACCCACTGCAACCAAGTCGATGCTGAGTCATGGCAGCCTCATGGGACAGGGTAAAACTACCCCTTTGGACGGACAAGGCTGCAGCTCTTTACGGAAACAGACACAGCCTAATCCTTCTCCCTGGGAGCGGCTGGGCCCCAGCACAATGGTTTTAGTAAGCCACCTAACTTGTGGTGCTTTTTAATGGCAACTCTAGGAGGTGAATGCAGCCATGGATGTGGATTTGGGCTATTTATCCAAAATTGAAAACTTCATCATACCTATGTCAGGTATGAGTTTTTGCAACAATTAAAATAACTGTCTGCCAAGTGAGTTATCTTCACTTGCCGGATCCATCACCCCTAACCCCCAACACAGTGCCTATGTCCCACTTTGCAGGGCAATGGGTTTCTCTATTTATATGAGCTTTCTCGCCAGGATCTGGTAACGCCCACAAAATGATTGGCCGTGACCATGCAAATAAAGTGCATCAAGGTGTTTGGTCGATTTTGTGCTCCACTCCCTGCCCAAACTTACTTGGCTTTCTGTCTCCTTTTCGGGAAAACAAAACAAAACACTCAATGCCCCCCCAGCCCCCACTGGAAATTAAACTCTGTTGTACTATAGTCCAAAGGAGCCATGGTGTGTAGGGGGTTACACATTAGTTCGAAACCACCAGGTGACCCAAGGGAGAAAGAGCAGGCTTTCTACTCCCACAAAGAATTCGTCTTGGAAATCTGCATGGGCAGCTCTACTCTGTCCTATAGGGTTGCAATGAGTCAGCATTGACTTGATGGCAATGAGTTTGGGGTTTTGTTTGTTTGTTTGGTTGGTTGTGTGGTACTATAGCCCATAATCCAGGATAAAGCATGTTACTGCTATTGCAGATCGCCTGGATCATTCTGTGCTACCTGCCTCATCTCTTCCTGCTCTGCTTTAAAGTGTTGAAAAGCATGCATGTTGCTTTGAGGATTAAGGTGTGCCTGGTCCAAGCCATGGCATTTTCAATTGCCTCATAGGGATATGAAGGTTGGACACTGAATAAGGAGGACTTCAGAAAACACGATGCATTTAAACTATGGTGCTGGTGAAGAATACTGAAAGTACCATGGACTCCCAAAGAACAAAGACATCCATCTTGGAAGGACAACCAGAATGCTCCTTAGAAGCAAGGATGGCAAGAATTGTCTTACATACTTTGGACATACTTATCGGGACCGACCAGTCCCTGGAGAAGGACATCATGCTTGATAACGTGGAGGGACAGTGAAAAATAGGAAGAGCCTCTGTGATCCAAGGATCGGAAATCGAATCTCAATCGAAAGAAGAGAATGATATCAGAGCTTACATTTGTGAACACCTGATTTGCAGAAGGCTATAGGTGACAATGGACGCCCCAAATCCATTTTCAGGGTCCTCACATAGACTAAGCCTCCAGTGAGTTCCCTCCAATCATAGTTGAGGGATGTGAACAGCTCTGTTGTCAGAGACAGCATTGTAAAATTGATTATGGCCAGAGCATAATATCTTATCATTTGATCTTTCTTTGGACCCTCTTAAAACTGTTTCCATTTAAAGCAAAAAAGCAAAGGGGAACAGATGGTGGATTAAGCCCCTGGTGAATCTCTTCTGACCCTGGACCATAAACACCTTTGCTCACAAGCCAAATGCACTGGAAAGTGGATTGTTGCAGGCACGGTTGGGTTAAAATTTAGCACCCTGTCATTTGATCTCCCTTGTGATCCATTTAAGTTTGTAATATTTTCTGCTTTCTTTTCTATTGGTGTTTTTATCTGTTTTAGCTTGTTATTTTTGGTTTTGGGTTTGGTTTTTTTTGGGGGGGCGTCTACTTGCATATGAAAACCAAAATAAGTAAATCTACAGACAGTAACTGGATTAATGGTTCCTTGAGGGTAAGGTCACCATGAGGTGGAGCAGATTCGACAGCACCTAACAACGACAACATTTTGGGCTGGGGTATGGATGCACAATAAACGACCCAGCTAGGCAGTTTAAGGCAGCTGGGTGTAAAATTTACGGAAATTTAGGAATGGGCTGGAGTGGGCTAGGAGGTTTGCCAAAGAGCTTTTAATAGAGTGCAGGAGATAGCAGTGGAGGAAGGTTGCACGGGTGTGGGCAAACTGTGAACTCAAAATATGGAAGGAGAAAAGAGAAGCCATGCAAAGGGTGCCAACGGAGACCAGATTCCACCCCAAGTCCATTAATTCAAAAGGGACTTACGTGCCTCTGGGTCAGGCACAAAGGTGCCCACAATGGGGCGCTGCGGCCCAGGACCTGGCAGGCCGCGAAGGAGAAAGGTGGGCCGGAAAGGCTGGGCCTCAGAACCCTATGTAGAGTCGCTGTGCACCATCTGGGGCCCTGGCGGTGGTACTGGTTACAGGCTGGGCTGCTAACCGAAAGGTCCTCAGTTTGAACCCCCCAGCCGCTTCTCGGGAGCACACAGGCCCGGTCTCGGAACCCCTGTAGGGGCAGTTCGCCCCTACCCTCTGGGTCGCTATGCGTCGAAGTGACAGGATGGAGCGGTGGGTACCCATCCTAGTCATCTGATGGCAGGGGGCTGGCTGGTTGGGGCGCGTAGTGGGGTCATCGTTGAAATGGGAACCGCACTTCTAACACACCAGCCGCTCTGGGAGACAAAGATGAGGCTGGCTGCTCTTGTAAAGGCTTACAGCCAGTGCAACAATCCTACTCGGGCCTGTCGAAGCTCTCATTGAGGCGGATGATTAGCGGGCAGCAGGTGTCAGGCACTGTGGGAGCTTCATCTCGTGAACACACTGCCCAATAAGCCCTTCGGTGGAGAAAGCGACGCTTGTGGGAGGAATAGGTCCAAAGTTCGAAGTAAGGACTCATCGGCAGGCAAGAGTCAGATGGCTACGGGTCTTGCAGGCCAGGATTAGGAGTTTAGAATGTGTCTTTAAAAAAACAAAAGTAGCCAGGCCTTGAGGACGATGATCCCAATTAGAGCAGTCAGTCCACAGAGAGGACCACATGGCCAGCCCCAATATGAGACATGACGCCCCTCACTGACCCATAGGCCTATAGGGGACAACACCGGAGACACAGTGTGGGAATTGCACCCGATCTGATCCCGCCACACCGAGGCAAAACACTAAGGGGATGCAACAGAACAAGGGCATGGAGTGGCTGGCGAGGTCCCCAGGGAATGCAGAAGATGGACTTTGGGGCCAGGGTGTGGTGCCCCAACAGACTGGACTGGAAAACACTCCTAAAGGCCAAGAAACAATCCTAGAACTAACTACAAGCTTTTCTTTCTTGTTGTGTTGTTTTGTTTTTTGTCATTGGTTTGTTGTTGCTGTT